CCCATTTCTCTACGGATTTAGCCTTTTTCAGAGAATAGTTTTTTTGCGATTGGGGGGGCGACCGCCCCCCCTTGCCCCCCCTTGGCTACGCCCCTGGAATTTAGTAGTATTCTAAACTACCAAGTCACTGGACACTCACTTTAAGTTGCATATTTTCATATTATAAGGAGACTCTTATGCATCAATGGGCGTGACCGCCCTTGATGGAATTGCTAATTGCTGGACTAAGTATAATTTAAAAAGAACAGTAGTTGTGTGAACTTACCAATCATGGTAATAGTTTCATCTTTTTGTCTGCAGAAAGTGACTCAAGATATCTTTGAAACAACAATCGTACTAAGGCCTCATAGACAACCTTGTGTGACCTAACACTTCTGTTGTAGTGCTTGCCCGACATTACTCCATTTATTGATCCAACCGCTACAATTTCAGACTCAATAAGGATGTCCTATAGAAATAACAACAACATTTTCATTTTTAACTATAATTTAAAAAACAAACATCTCTTTTATCAAGTATAAAATCCCCGGCTTGGCCAAGTGTTTCATATCTGGTAAAACAAATGCAAAAGCTAGTTTTTTTAAATGACTTGCATATACATATAAGAAGGTTAAGGCTTTACTTGTAACCAGATTTCGACAATGAGTTGAGCAAGCTGTATAACCCATTGAGCCACAATGCACCCAAGTTCGCCCTACTTATTTTTTTACTTGTCATGTCTAACACCAGACGATTTTACTGGTCAATGGAAAAGCTCTGCAGCTTAATGGGTTAACCAGAAAATGACAATGTATCTATCCATTGAGCTGCAATGCGGCCAAATGCGCCCTACTTTGTTGACTTGTCTAACCCCAGACGATTTTACTCGTCAATGAGGAAGCTCTGCAACTTAATGGGTTAACAATGACAATTATGCATGTTCAAAATACCTTTAATCCAGCATCTTTAAACCGTTTGGAAATTGCTCCACAATATGACATTGCCATGTGAAAATCCCCAAGTCGGACAATAAATCGGCTGAGATACCCCTCTTCCTTCCATCTAATTTGCTGAACTTTTGCATAGATTGCGTCATCAAAAACCAAGCACATGTATTTCAAGTTCAGTTTGTCGGCTATCTTCTCACTCTGATTAAGTATCTCCTTTACTGTTGAAAGTTCTGTTGAGCTTGCATCAATTATGGGCAGATACCCAATTTTAGACTGAGTAGGTATGTCTCTCTTATAAATAAGTTTGGTGTTGAATCTTGTCCAATTGGGAAGAGTGATTCCTTTACCGAGATATCTGCATAAGGGAAATGCAAGGTCTTTCTTCTTAGCATCATTCTGGGGTTCAAAATGATGTTCTTCTCCAATTTCGTTGTTCTGCATTGCATCACTCAAGTTAACAGTTTTTCGTTTTCCAAGAAAATATGGTTCAATATCTTTTGATGGTGCTACTACTGAATTCCTTCGGGAAATATTCTCTCCGACTCATAAGATACAGCAGCATCCCTCTGAATGATAATTCCTCCAGTTATATGAGTTGTTCCCTTTCCAGATCTAGTTTCTTCTGAGAAGTCATCATTATTCCATGCAAGTGTATTTGGTACATTACCAATAAAACCGGGAGGAACAGTAGAGTCCTTAGATATATTCAACTGTGCTAGTGCTGTTTCATTAGCTAATACGAATTAGTAAGACATGCAATGTCCCAAGCCACTTAATAAAGGTATAACTGAGGCTGATCCTGTCAGTTGCCTAAATGCCATGGCAAGTGCTATGCTCTTTGGAGTGGGATTCCTTTGATTAGATGCTAAGTTTACTAGGTCTTGTGTAATTGACATCAGTTTGGCACTTTCTTTATGGTCTATTTCCACATAATTGTTTAAAGTGGGCTCGGACGAAAATCCACAAATCCATGCCAGTGTGTTGAAAAGCTCACATGGAACGATTTTCTTCACATTAGTCATTGTCATATCTGATGCTAATGGAGGCCAAGGTAGACCAAGCTTGGGGATTTCTTGAACCTTTTTTTTAATAATTAATGCTGCATTGTATAAAACTTGCAACTCGTTAAGTTGAAAATTTGCAGGTGTTTCTGTATAAGAATTGTTATCATGTACCTCACCTTCACCGATGCAGTCACCTTCATCAAATTCTTCATCAGTATTTTCGGCTTTATTCAACATATGTTCCTCAACTAAATCAGAAGTATCCAAGTTCTCAACATACACAATTTCACTAACATTTCTAGATTTAGGCAAATAGAATACCAGCTGGGGATAACTGTTAATTAGCCGTTGCTTGAGCTTGGAAGACCTGTATTTCGATGCATCCACATTCTCAGTTTCCTTAGCAATAACAACAAATTTCTCAAGTAAGTGCATCATGTACATTATTGCTTTTCCCTTGATGATTTCAGTTTCGACGACTTCTTTACAAAATACATCCTAAGATCTTTCATACATTGGTGCACATGTTGTGGTCGCCTTTGCCTCCCTTGCAAGGAATATGGTATAGTTGCTATAGCTAACTTTGTGGTAGCGGACCTCCAATGCAACACAGTCTTTATCTCTAATCTGTACAATTATCCGCTCATCATTTTTCCTCTCAGCAGCTGTACGTAATAAGCCAGCATCAACCGTACTTGCCAACACTAGTGGTGTTCTTCTCTTTTGAGTTTTCTACACAAAACATACAAGTTTAGAATGCCTGTTTAAAAATGGCATATACCAACTACAGCAGGGTAAATTTTACAAATTAACCAACTTCAGTAAGGTACAAATTCACAGCAACCAGGTATATTAAAATAATTATACTCAGATTTGTAAAATTTATGAACATTATATTGGATTATCTGGATAATTAACTCATCAAGATCCAACACACCCAACACGTACTCCAAAATATCATATAGGATTATAGGTATATGTGCAAGGCATAAATTATATGACGACTTTTCCGAGGACGTTTCCACCAAAAGGTGGTCCATAGGCATAGAATGTATAAAAGATACTGTACACAAGATATTGTACATAATATCAAAGTTGCCTCGAAATCCTTTGTATCGCGAGGTACGATTAATCACTAATTTACCTCATTACTAAAACATGGAGTAAAATTAGAACTAATTTTACCACGGGCAAAATTAGAACTAATTTTGCCCATGGTAAAATTAGTTCTAATTTTCCCCTGCAAGCTTGATGAGGGAAATTTAGAAGACAAAAGCGTACCTCTTTACCTCTGATTGGAAAGCTGTACCTCATCGAAAATCATCGGCACAACTATGGACTACTAAACCTCTCTCGGCTTTCGGGTACATTTGATCACTAATCGCCCTGAATGCCATGCTATTACTTATAATAATCGTACCTTATCTCTTGAAAACCAAGATGAATCTCTTCCACAAATAATGCAGCATTCTGGTAGTACATGCTTGTTTCGTTGAGGTAAGGTTTTACTTGCAGGTTCCTTAACTGAGCTGCGTGTAATCTTTCTCCTGGGTTCGACGTCAGGTTCCTCGTGGCATGTGTGGTCTTCGGTATTATCGACGTTTTCCGTGCTTGTACTAGCTCCGTTTTCCTCTTTTATCTGTTGTCTACGGGTTTTTTCTTAATCGCTAAATTTCTTGTAGCATTTCATGTGGCGGTTCATACCGTTGTGTTCTCTGGGCGAGACTTTTTTTATTTATTGGTTTACGGATTTGACTTTAAAAATAAGAGGTCGGTAGGTCGGAAAAAAATTTAAAATAACAAGAAACTGAGTATAAATGAGAACCAAAATTAATAATCTTTATAAAACTTTTAACCGCGTTAATTAAAATAACCCCCGTAAAATCGTGGCTAATATCCGTATTGATTGTCACAACGATAACATGAGCCAGCACTACTTAGAATCAAAGTTTATTTGAAGTGTACTTCATGTCGGAACCCCAAATTAATTAAAATTAACTAAACTTGTAAAAATTTTGACATCCAAATTTTTTTTTTTTGATTTTTCACTTTCTGAATATTTACGGTCGGCGGATCCGTAAACCAATGAATATAAAAAGTCTCGCCCTGCCAAGTATGAATTGACGAATTCGTCATCAAACTTATCATACGAATCCTTCGCTATCTCAGCTTGCAGGCAATTAAGTTTCGCCCATTTATTCCTGCAATCGACAAATTTCTTAAGCCTTTGACGAGTAACTTTGGAAAGTTGCTTGATTACGCCTTCAAAATGCATAAAACATGAGGATATTCTAATTTTCGACATATCTTCCATAGTAGCCATCTTGAATATGCGCGTTTTATTTCAGTTTTTCCTTTCTGCGCGTGCGCATTACATGTTTTGTGGTCAAGCGCATGCGCACTTGCAACACAACAATGGCCGTTCATGGATTTCGAAATCCAACGAAGCCCGAACTTTGGAGAGGTCGTACTTCAATTTGTGCAACTATTTCGCTTGGGGGGAAGTGGATTCTTACTAAGTAAGTTCTAATCTATCCATTCATGTAAAAATGATGTAGTTACACGAGGGGTGCTACGGAATCTGTTTTCTAAGCATATTTTCGACCCTCATCTCACGGCCTATTGTGAAAACCCGGAATGCCGGAATATGACGGAGTATGGCGGAATGTAACGGAATATGCCGGAGTATCATGGAATATCACGACATTTTCCCGGAATATAGCGGGACATCACACTATTTTCCGATGGTAGCCATGCGACTGTCTATAAACATGGACGTCTGACAACGTATTTCATTACAAAAGTGATGGATCTTTCCCATTTTGACGGTAAGTGACAAAAAAAGCTCTATACTGGAAGTTTCATATGTTGTTTATGTCATTATTACGAGTGTTCACCAAAAATGTTGAATCAATATGATTAATTCCTCCTGAGTTACAGCGTCGCTGACGTCAGCATTATTTTCGAACGCTTTCAGAACTGTGTTATACACAAAATGTAGTTAAAAATTATTGGTTACCTTAAGGTGGCTCCGTACAGTTAATACAGTTTAAAATACGATTTATATAGATCAGACTTCACCCTCGCGACCTACGCGTGGAATCGTCTGAATTCGAACAGTACGTATTTTATAGTTACTAGTTTAACCTATCTTTTAGTGTGTTTTTACGTATTTACGTTCAGCATTGTCTTTCATAATGCTCAAAATTTTCAACTTCTTGTGTTGCGAACTGTCAAACTGAAATGATACTGTCTTCTATTAACTTTTGAACGGTAGTGAACTGTCGCCGAAACTTATGTAAGTCCTGTCAATCAATTCAATTCACAGGTATCGTTTTATTTGCTAAATCAAATAAAACAGTTATGAGTTGTCTTATATGAAAAGTTAAACTTGTAGTTCGATGTCGTCGGTTTTCACACCGATTTTAACAACAAAAACAAATGTAAAGAATAATACAATGCGTAATAGTGTTTTTATTATTAGTATTTTCAAGATTAATATTTTATTTTCATGTCAAACAAGTCAGAAAGATCTGTTTTCGTATGTATTGTAAGCCAAAAACTTGAAATCACTATAAATCACACGCTACAATTTACACGCATGCGCAGATCATGCTGATGTCGAGTCGATTTTTTTTTCGTGCTGGCCTCGCCGATTTTAGCGATGATTTTCTCGTGTTTTCTTCGGTGAAATTTTTTTAAACTTTGTATTTTTGTTATACAAGACGATTGGTACAACATAGAAAATATCTATATTTACACAGTTTTCCTAGGTCACTTGCGTTTTTTGCTCGCTTATTCCGGCATCTTGGATTTTTAATTTTGGTCACGTCTCGTCTCTATAGTCTTCGGGATAGGAATCGGCGATCTATACTTCCTATATCTATGGTTTAACCCATGCATGTCAATACTATTTTGGAGTGTGAACATGCCTGATGCAGGCTTGATCCGGGCTTGTTTCAACACTATTCCTGAGTGTGGTTTAAACTAACTATAGGAACCCCTTTTAGGCGAATTTTACACTTCAAACCCCTTAGTAAGGTAGATTGATGTACATGTAAATGCGTTGTCAGTGTTCAAATCACATGCTGTGTTCAAGCCAAATACTTTCTATAGATCGTGGTCTTGTAAGGCAACTGCGCAGTTGGTGCTCGTGAATCAATTATTAGCAGAGAAATCTTTTAAGAAAGGTAGGTTTAGATTGCAATTAATTTTAATTAATATTCCCTGTATACGAGCCAATCGTTATCAAATATAAGACGACATGGTAGGTTTCGTTAAGCACTAGGGTGCAGGAGAATAATGCTTGACCTCTTCTGCACTACTATCTGTTGCTATGAAGCTTATTTTGTTAATAATTTATGTGGCTGATTTTGTATATTGCATTCTTGTTTAGAGATTAAACATCGATTTTTTGCGAAAGAGAATGACTGGGGTTTCAGCATATTCAAAAACTGGAATGTACGTTATCGCATAAAATAATAGTCCTTAGATAACATGTACAAATACAAGTTTTGCTTTATAGGTCAATGCTACAATATATGGTGTTTTTTATTTCCATTACATTGAATTTGTAGCTAGAAAGTACAATGGTATATACAGTAATATAAAGCCATGTGTCAATATTAATTTTCTGTTTAGGAAATTCTCAATACCGAAAATGGATTTTTAGTCAATGACACGATCATTGTTGAAGCACATGTTGTTGCTGAAGCTCCTCATGGGGTTGCGTAAGTAGGAACCTTAAAATTTTCCAAGGGGCATATACCGGCTCATTTGATAGCGGAAGGGTGAACAATTTCTGGTTTGAGCCCACCTGTTCACTACTTTAGTAACGTTTGTCAGAAGTAAAGTATATAGACATTTTCCTGGCGTGCGCTGACGTTAGAGATTAAAAAATCCCCTTATTCGTAAGAGAAATACTGTTTGCTTGTGATTGTCAATACTGTTCATCTGCCAACTCAACTTACTTTTCCCTCCCTATTATTAGTTTATGCTACTAAATATAATATTTGCTGCTAGATATACAGTCATGTACTAAATAAAATAATAACAACTAAATTTAAATATGAAATAATATATTCATTTTCTTTGGTGTTTAGCAATCTGAAATATTAATACTAAACCTAATACTTACAGTAATATGCGTCAACTCGCGTGGACTTTTACAATGCTAATAAGTTGCCTGCTCGATCAGCAAGATTAGGTGTTCCAAAATGCGAAGATCCATGGGCGGGTCCAGGAATTTTCGGTGCAAATTTTGGACAATACTCCATCTGATTATTTTAGAATAACCTTTTGAAGCCCAATTATGATTTAGCTTCATACGAGAGTTAGTAGGAATACCTAAGAAACACAAACGTTAACTAGGCCCTATAATTAGGATAATATATGATTGGTTGAAACTTTATAAGATCGGAACTATACTAAACACAATTAAGCGTTATTAGATATGGCACTATAGGGTTTAGCTACCTCAATGTCGTTTCTTGCACACGCACTTTCGGAGACACTTCAGTATGTACAGGTAATCAAATGACCAAATAAAATATACAATGGTAATTGAACTGAGTGGAGTGCAATTTGGACTGAAATCAAACACGTGATTGCAAAATCGCACGACCGTAAAGCGGGAGTGCGATTTGTAATCACAAGTTTATTTCAGTCCAAAATTGCACGACACGAAGTTAGATTTCCACGTCATTATATTCATTTTGAAATCTTTAAAGACCATGTCAAGTCCGTAATGTAAACAAATCCTTTGCCCACATTTTGAACTGCTATATTTGTAAATAAGAATACTATAATTGAATATCTGACACTTTTCTGGTTCGCTATTGTAAATGAATATAAACTAGAGTACGTTTCAATTCAAAAATTAAAAGTTCGAAAGATGCAAAATTTGGCCAATGTTTATATCTGCGGGTCCTCCTTTGTTATGACCAGAACTGATGCGCAGAAAGTACTTGACATGGTCTTTAACATTTTTGTAAACCGCGGAAACGTTTTTGTTTGCAAAAGGCAACCTCCGGTACCTCCCAGAGTGCTGTAGCATAGCAACAGTAAGCGAACAAGATGAACTTAGTTTTGTTAAATTGCATGTTATTAAGAGGAGGTTTTTTCAAACTCGCGTATTTGGCGCTCAAAACCAATCAGATTGCCGGAATGCTGAGAAGGCGATAGAACAATGCTGGCAATATGGCGGCGTCGTTTCGTGTCGAGGAGTGTGTCGTTTGAAAATGATGCAGTTTTCAACGCAAATAACAACTGGATGGGGAGATTTTTGATAGATAATTAGTCAATTTAATCTTCAAGAAGTAAGGAGATGGATTTAACAAGATGAATTTATAATAAACTAGATGGCACTCAGAGACTGCATACCTCCGCCTACGCGCAAAATATTGAAGTAATCTATTGTTATTAGAATTTGAATGGCTGGTGCATATATTATGCACGTCCTAATTACGCATTCAGTATAAAGTTTTATTTAATTGACCGGGAAAAGCAAGACAAACTTTTGTTATTTCTCATTCAATTTTTAACCAAATTCAACCAAATTTTAATCAGTTCTTCCTTAGCCGATGGGAAATGAACTCACAAAATTTCGTACGGATATGTTTGGTATTTCTTGAGTTATCGTGCTCACAGACAAACACACACACACACACACACACACACACACACACACATACACACATACACACACACATACACACACACACACATACAAACCCATATGATTACATAACCTCCTGGCGGAGGTAACAAAGAATTACAAGCGATGCAATGTTTAGTGGCATTTGTTTTGACTGGACTGTCATGGAACCTTGGAAGGTATGGTTGAATTTATACTAATTTTCTAGCCAATAACCTGCTTCTGATCAGACTAGAAAATATTAAAAACAAACCTGACATACTCAACTTACAGTAAATCATATATTAACAGAACTAGCGTGTTTGTCCAACATTAATTTTGCAGATTTTTACAAACGAGTTCAAAATTTACTGATTTATTTGGAAAGGTGATTAAATGCAGCATGTTTGGCTATAACTTTAAAACTAAATGGAAATATTGAACTACAGTATATGTTCTGTTTTTTTAAGATATATTTTCTGCAATTAAATGTATCGATTTTAAAATCCAAACGCTAAATAGGTTTGAATTTAGTTTTTACTGCTCTTGCCAAATGTGACTTAAATTACACCATTGGTTCATTGGTTAAACATAATTTCAGCAGTTATAAATGATCCGAAACTGCTTCTGATCTAACAAAATGTTTTTCACAATAGACCCTGGGTCTGGTAGTTTGCAAAAAGTATGATTTGATTCAAATTTGAGTGGTATGTCCGAGGTCGTTTTTTAACATTTTTAAAATCAACCAAAATTACAATATTCACAGTGTTTATTTACTTGAAAAGCCCAATATTTGTATTTTTTCTTGGAAAATTGTGTGAATATCATGTTTATAGTCATATGGACATATCGCTTATTCCATTTTTCACTATCCATATTGATTTAAAATCTGTATGAACATTTTTATTCCCAAAATCAATCAAGTACTGATACTGTACTATTTGGCAGAAATGGACTTTTAACAGTCTACTCTTTAACATCGAGTTTAACTGTTGAAAATTAGCCCAAAACTGTTTCTGATCAAACTAATTTCGCTTTAAGGATGAGGCCTGGGTATATTAGTTTGCAAAAAGTATAATTTGATTCAAATTTGAGTGGTAGGTCCAAGGTCGTTTTTTGACATTTCTAAAATCGACCACAATATTAGAAAGTTCATAATATTAGGAGGGTCTAGATG